GGCATGAAAAGGAAGCAAAAGGCATATAGATCAGAATGGAAGAGATGAAGTTGTTTCTAATCAGATCACACGATTGTCTATAAAGAAAATCCCAAGGAATGTACAAGAAAACTGCTAGAACTAGTAAGTGAGTATAGCAAGGTTGCAGGACACAAGATAAACATGCAAAAATCTGTCTTATTTTTATATAATGGTAATGAACAAGTGAACAGTAACATTAAAAATATAATACCATTTACGACTGGGTGCAGTGGCTCAAGCCTGTAATCCCAGCACTTTGGGAGGCTGAGACGGGCGGATCACGAGGTCAGGAGATGGAGACCATCCTAGCTAACATGGTGAAACCCTGTCTCTACTAAAAAATACAAAAAACTAGCTGGGCGAGGTGGCGGGCGCCTGTAGTCCCAGCTACTCGGGAGGCTGGGGCAGGAGGATGGCATAAATCCGGGAGGCAGAGCTTGCGGTGAGCTGAGATCGTGCCGCTGCACTCCAGCCTGGGCGACAGAGCAAGACTCCATCTCAAAAAAAAAAAAAATACCATTTACAATGAAACAAAATTACTCAGATATAAACTAGCAAAATATAAAGGAGTTATATGCTAAAAATAGTATACCGTGGATGAGAGAAATTAAGATCTAAGCAGAGACACATACCATGTTCATAGTTTGGAAGATTCTACATACCAAAGATGTCAGTTCTCTCCAAATGGATACACAGGCCTAACAATTTCTATCAAAATGCCAGCAGGTAGATCAGTGGAGGAGAATAGACCCAAACAGAAATAGGCCCATATGAGTTACGGGTGCAGATACAACCACAGGAGATGCAAATCAATTCAGCAAATGAAAGTCAGCCATTCAGCAGATGGCAAGTTAGCCTTTCAACAGATGGTGCCAAGGCAGTTAGTTATCCATAGGCAAAAAATTAACCTTGACCCAAGTCTTGCACCAAGCTTTTCCAACCTGCGGCCTGCAGCTGCATGTGGCCCAGGACAGCTTTGAATGTAGCCCAACATAAATGCATAAACTTAAAACATTGGGGGTTTTTTGGGGGGTTTTTTTTGGGTTTTTTTTTTTTTTTTTTTTGCGATTTTTTTTATTTTTAAGCTCATCAGCTGTCGTTAGTGTATTTTATATGTGGCCCAAGAGAATTCTTCCAGTGTGGCCCCGGGAAGCCAAAGGATTTGGACACCCCTGTCTTACACCTCATAAAATAGTATCTCAAAATAGATCATGAAATTAAATGAAAAACATAAAGCAATAAAACTGCTTAAAAATAGGAGAAAATCTTCAAGTTCTAGAACTAGGCAAAGAGTTCTTAGACTTGACACCAAAAGCATCCGTAAAAGGAAAAACAGATAAATTAGACTTCATCAGAATTTAAAGCTTTTGCTCTGGGAAAGACCATATTAAGAGTATGGGAAGATAAGCTAAATCTAGGAAAAAATATTTTCAAATGACTTATCTGACAAAAGGATGGTATCTGGAATATATCAAGAACTTGCAAAACTCAACAGCAAAAATAATACAATAAATTCAATCAGAAAATAGGCAAAAAATATAAACAGACATTTCACCAAAGAGGAGACCCATGTAACAAGCATAGGAAAAGATGTTCAACAGCATTAGTTATTGGGGAAATGCAAATTAAAACCACCAGATATCACTAACACCTATAAGGATGGCTAAAATAAGAATGGAGACACCACCAAATGCTGGTGAGGGCGCAGAGAAAATATCTACTGGTAAACAAGCAATAGCCGGGTCCAGCAGTTTAAGAAAACTTTGTTCAGCCAAACTTAAGAAATTACTGGGCTGGGTGCAGTGGCTTATGCCTTTAATCCCAGCACTTTGGGAGGCTGAGGCCAGCGAATCATGAGGTGAGGAGTTCGAGACCAGCCTGACCAACATGGTGAAACCCTGTCTCTCACTTCTCAAAAGAAGACATTTATGTAGCCAGCAGACACATGAAAAAATGCTCATCATCACAGGCCATCAGAGAAATGCAAATCAAAACCACAATGAGATACCATGTCACACCAGTTAGAATGGCGATCATTAAAAAGCACCAACAGGTGCTGGAGAGGATGTGGAGAAATAGGAATGCTTTTACACTGTTGGTGGGACTATAAACTAGTTCAACAATTGTGGAAGACAGTGGTGATTCCTCAAGGATCTAGAACTAGAAATACCATCTGACCTAGCCATCCCATTACTGGGTATATACCCAAAGGATTATAAATCATGCTGCTATAAAGACCCATGCACACGTATGTTTATT